TTATGGCTATACGCTCCTGTTATGGTGTGTTCCAATTGACATATGGGATATATATTCTCTTATATTCTCCACTCACTTTCTTAAGCTAATCTGACCTGCTTTCTTCACTTTCTACTGTCTTGGGGCCCCTTCTTCGTTCCGCTACCACAGTTGCTGCTATCTTCTCCATCCTTTCCTTCGGTTTTGGCTTCGTTATGTCGCTATTCGTTGCACCGTTTGACGAATCGTTCGCGTACTTGTCACGGTTCCGCGACGCTCATGGGGTGTTTACATCTGTGCAAATTTGCTAGCGCTACACAGCAAAAAAATAATTTTGTTATCACATCAAAGTGGATGCACTACAATCATGTCGAAAATTTCATGTAATTTTTATGACCACATAAATAAACAAATGCAGTAAAAGCAGCGTAATGTCAGTTCATGCATTGTATTAATGATAATTTTGTCCTTTTTAGCAAGTAATATTACACCATATTTTCGACATGATTGTAGTGCATCCACTTTGACGTGATATCAAAATTATTTTTTTGCTGTGTAGTGTACTAGCCAACTAGCACGAATTTCAGTTGCTCCTGAAATCTCAGGCTGATAGACGCTGATGCCCTGTTTACATTTTTTTTACTTTTAATGATCTTTATTTCTTGTATTTGTTTGGTTTACATGTATGAATTTTCAAGTGACACAGATGCGTTTTTTCAACTTTAGTTATTTGGAAATTTTAATTATTATTTACTGTTCCTAGTCCTATCAGGCCTGTTAAAGTATGACCACCTTGGTGGGATTGGTTTTTTTTTAAATTGGATTTAAATTACTTAAAACTACTATTTACAACTACAACTAATCTACAACTACTATATACCTACACCTAACCTACTATATACAAATTGATTATCAAAGCATGAAGGTAGCTCCACTGTAATATTTTCTGGCGGAGGGACGACACAAACGAAGGCATCCAAGTTTTGTACACATTGTGCAACCTGATTTTCAAGCGGACTTTGAATAGTTGAGCCAAGCAAATGCGATGCAGCAATATGATTGCCGATCGTCATCATTTTCGACTCTGAGAGGTGGAACCGGTTTTGGATGATTTTCAGCACCTTGGCTACCTTCCAGAATGGACGAAAGCGGCGTCTACGCACATTTCTCAAGCGAATCAGTAACTGGGTGTGGGAATCAATGGCAACAAACTTACCCCTCACAGGAACTTGTCGAACACACGTCTCGTCAGCCACGGATATGGCCTGGTGGAGGCCTTCCAGAGTCCGGTCGATGTCCTCTACGGTGTCAAGCGGCTGATTTTCGTTGATGGTCGGTTGGTGGTCGGAGCTTAAATCGTTGATTGCCACCGGCTTGGATAGCCCGAAGTTCGTCAGAAAGAAGTCCAGCGTGGAAGGGTTTCCCGCCGGAGAGATGAATGTCGGTTCATCCGGAAATTGCACCGTATACAGCCCATGCTGCGAGTGGTCGAATAGTAGGTTACCGTTCTGGTTCCGTTGGTAGTTGCGCCATGCTTCATGACGAGCATTCAGATCCCCCCAACAATGAATCGGGAGCTCCTCGTGCGGGTGATAGCGGTGAGGTCGTTCTTGAATTTCATCCTTAGTCCGTTGCTAGCACCACACTAACGAGGGCAGTATACGGCGATAAACCGGACGTTTCCGGTTGGTGATTCCACCTCCACACTAAGGGCTTCGATGATAGAAGTGCGGATATACGGCAGCGTGCAGAACTTGATTCCTTTCCCCCCCGAAGTCGATACGATCAAGCCGGATAATGTGGTGATCAGGCAACCAAAAGCTGTCACCGGATTTAAGATGGGTCTCTATTAGGAGGCTCACGTCGATATTATGCTTGCGGAGGCAGTCAGCAAGCTCGAGTCTTTTTGCTCTTAAAGAGCATGCGTTCCATGTGACGATAGTTATCGGTTTAGACACCATACCTCGCACCATACTGAATAATAAACTTACCGAGCACTTAGATCTGTTGCTGTGGCACTGACGAAGAGCGCTGGTCATGTCTAGATAGAGCTGGAATTAGGGCGTAACAGCTTTTGTAAACAATGACTTCTGTCGATGATTTCTAGAAACTCAAGGCTCGCTCAAACAAATCAATATCACCATCAGGTAGGGGAAGACTTCCCCTACCCGTTGGTTATGTTGGCTTGCGTGGGCGCGCCTTGAATTTCTATAAATCATCGAGAGAAGTCATTGTTTACAAAAGCTATTAGGCCCTTATTCCAGCTCTATCTATATGTCGACGAAAATCTTCATCAGCTCATCCGCAGAAAAGAGATCGGGATTGACGTTTTGTGCTGATACTTGTCTCCAGAATAAAGAGGGGGATGGGGAGCCTTGTCCAGCAGAAGCACCAGACGTTTCTTGTCGGGGGCCGGATTGCACCCGTGGATTTACTTGACCGTGTTGCGTAGCAGGAAGAGGTGGGAAATCCTCCACTCTGAATGCCGGCGTATTGTCCTTCGTTCGTCCTGGTTGATTTCTTGTTGACGCCTGCTTTCGGATCCGCTTGAAATCTTTGCGTTTGGGGCACTGTTTGTCGGACCCTTGATGAGCGCCATCACAGTCACAGTTGGCGCATTTGGGCGTTTCCGATTCGTCGACAACACACTCGGAGGAGACATGGTTTTGGGCACATTTGCCACAGCGCGGCTTGACGAAGCAGTTTCAGGTGTCGTGCCCGAAATTCAGGCAACGCTGACGCACTGGGTGATGTCGTGACGGCCGCCACGGTATGGCTCCCATAGGACAGTGATGGAATTGATGGAGCGGATGGTCTTCAACGCATTGAGTGTAACCGTTCCCTTCTGGAAATGCACCAGGAAAAGGAAATCCGGAAACTTATTGACGTTCTCGTCCCTCCTTGTCATCCGGAAGACGGCAGTTGGGGCCAACTTGTAGCGGTTCTTGTTTTCCGCTTCGATCAACTTCGGGTCAAAGTTCGGACCCTTGATGACGACCTTGAATGGTTTCTCACCGGGAATGTCGTGCGTGAAGAATTCCACCTTGGAAGTCCTCTGGTGGGCGACGACCAAGTCATACTCCGCTTTCGTACGGAGCATCACCTTGGTGCCGACTCTGCCCAACTTGAATTCGGCTTTAAAGCCCAGCGACGCCAGATCTGCGATGAGATCGTTAAGATGGGCATTTTTTATTACCGACGGAGGTAGCTTTACTACATCACTGCCGTTCGTCGCAGTGGCATCGTTGCGAGAAATCGTGCAATCGGACTGGCCCCGATTCTTCTTCCTCTTTTTGTAGTGCTTTCCTGTTACAGCTGGTTGGGTATGCCCATCGATGGGAAGAACAGCAAATCTGTTCGATGTTGGCACATCCGAGCTTCCTTCACCGGGGTTCTGGTTCATGTATTTTCTAAAATCTGACTAAACAAGGAGGAGGTGGAGAAAATTGGGTAACGTTTACTCAGTTGTTGACGTTTGCGAACTGATGAAAATTAATTTATATGAATCCTAATGAATGTGGGCGTCTTAGTGGAATACCTGTATATAGAAAGAGAGAAGGATTAATAATTTCCATTTAATTTCACTACCTTATTTGTAGACGAAATACGCGTATCTGTCAAGGATAAACAAATAAGGTAGTGGAATTAAATGGAAATTACAAATCCTTATAACTTTCTTTATACAGGTATTCCACTAAGACGGCCACATTCATCAGGATTTATCATGGGATCCAAGTCGTTGGAGCCCAACAAATTCATTGGATTGAAGAAACCTTAGCATCAGACGACTGCTCATGAAAGTAGATATGATAACCTTTGTTTTTCAAACAATATGAATATAGTCTTCACTAATAAATGCTACTAGAATCTAGAAGTAAACAACTTCGTGACGTAACAACGCGACCTAAAAATAACGTTTTATCAACTTCAACTCAGTTTTAGTAGAAATTTTCTGTTAAATAAATATTTTTTGATATTACTCCGATAATTTCAAACCTTTAGACAGGTGAACCTCAATTTAAAGTAATAACAACACGGAACATAAGAAATTAAGTTGAAAAGTCGCGGTGAAGAACTTCATGGAATTGGCCAAATGATTTTTTCATCTTCTCAGCAAACGATGCGAACCACGTGAGCTTTCCATGCGCATCCACATCATCACGGCATGGTGGCTATCTTAACTCCAGAAAACAGCATTATTTCCACCACTAGGTGTGCTACACGCTACGAAAAAGTCATGTAAATAGTGGTTCCCTGAGACCGACACATGTAAGCGACCCTTTTTGGCATAATAATCAGTTGAAAGAAACGGGAAAATCAATTCAATCGAACGTTCTCTTCGTCGAGCTGCTAATGTTTTGGTTTGAGAACACTTAATTTTACATGAAATATTTGTTTACGTTCCATGATTTACGTCCAATATGGTTTAAGTCTGGTGTAAATGTAGTTATTTCTAAGTGTGTTGTGTTCATTAGTTAAAATGCTTCTCTTTCCGTGCTGAAAGTTTACAATGAACGGTTGATACCAGGTATTCATTTGAAACACATTAACTCCCATTGGGATATTTTCCATATTCAATGAAATTCTGAAATAATTCCCATAATTCATTTCAGTATAAATGCCCTGAAACAATTGCACATCGCTCATTTTTTCGCCATGCCCTTCAAACTGAATGTTACAATCAATCAGCGGCAAAACTTTCATCCACGTAAAACTCTTAACCGAAAGTCGTTGCATTCTTTGTGGCGGATTATACACCCGTCATTTATAATATAATATACCACCGCACCAGGATCATGTGTATCAAACATAGCCTGGGAAAAGTGCGTACTTGCACGTCAATGAAGTTATTGACACGTCGAGAGAAATTGTTCATAAACAGCCAACGCGTTATGAAGGTCAAATAACCTAGCACCATGCGTCGCCATCGTAACAAAACGATTTCCCCTTTAACCTGGTAGGTACCCGATAGGTTGGCACAATGCACAACTTTATTTATTGCCTACCGAACCGTCACTTACCTTTTGGTGGTGATGAATGGAAGTACAAGCCGTGAGTTTTCCTCCTACGGTCCCTGGGAGGACCAGGGGGAGCCATCTTGGCGGGTTGTATGGGTGCAGGAGCTATCTTCGGCACCACCATTAGTGTTCGATTTTGTTGCTCGCAATTCTCAGACAGTTGTCACTAGTCGCGGTTCGACACGCGCTGTATATCATTCTATCCAGATGCCAGATTGTCGCAATAGGTTCCGCTAATATGGTTTCCGTCGCGTGGGTGACAATTGAATTATCGCTAAGATTTGGTACTCCCTTTGGGGAATTCTGATTCGATGCGTGTCTCAATGGTTTACGGCAGATTGACGACTGAGTTCTGTGGAAACGAAACGAAATGGAAATGTTATTTATTATCTACATAGGTAGCTGAAAGGTTCTATGGCGAAGGATTTTCAAATGGGAGGCGTATGTATATATGGTACACAATCTGGGAGTTTTTATCATTAGCGACACGTATGATGGTGTCAAGTGGTGTCCATCCAATTGGTGCCACAATCAATAAGATGGACAAATTTTCTGGAAGGTAGAAAATAATGAGAACATCGTTTTGAGACTTTCTCCTTGAAATACCGATATAGTAGGTGAAGGTGGCATAAAAAATTCAAACACATAATGATAGTCCATTAAAACAACGCTATGGTGCTATGATTGTAACGCTAACTCACATTAACAATACGGTGTCATACATTTGCATTGTTTCTCATGATTTAACTTGCCCTTAATAAAGTTATGGTTAGGTCAACAAAAATACAAATGGTTGAACCAGTTAAAAGAGGTCATTTTTGATTGATTTTGTTTTCCGTCGACTTTGTTTTCCGTGCTGAGCACCAATGCTACCGACGCCAGGAAGACAGCTCCCACACCTGGACCTTACCTATCGACTAATCAACTCACACCACAAAACACCACAATAGTTCAAATAATGGACGCAGTGGTTCAACTCCCCCTAACAAAAAAAAATCAACTCATGAACCGGAGACCAACGGCTTTCCTTCCGTGATCAGAGATGTTATGCCTCAGAAAATCCCGGCGGCGCCAACTGGGATTGAACCAAGGCCTGCTGGGATGAGAGGTAATCACGCTCACCAATACACCACCGGCGCCGCTGGGGTAACGACATCTCTCGGGCATCTCGCGGAAAACAAGCTTGCACGCTAACTCCCAAACAATATTGCATAAAAGTTCTCTAGAATGTATAGAAACGTCAAAGTGATCCGATGCCAGCGCTGCGGCGAGTAGTTCGTGGAACTGATAATATTCAAATCAACCGTTAAATGCGTGAACGAAGGTACACAATGAAGTGTTACGTATGTTTGTCTGTACTAAAATGATAGCACAAAAACGATATTATTGTTCAAAGATCTTTTCATATACTTTCGCGTTAGTTTCGAACAATGTATGCATGCTATTTTATGGGTTTACCGATACTTCGTACTTCTATTTAAAGGGTGTCCACAGTTAAATTGTATCACTTTCAAAAAGGTGTAATATTTTGCCCTTTTGTGTTAATTTTAATGACATTGTGTCAAAGGAACAACTACAGGAACTTTGCACACTCACCTCAGCAACCAACATCTTTCACACCGAGCGATCGGAGAAATGTTGGGAATCCAACAATCTACTATTTATCATGTCAAAAAACGTTTTGGAGAACGTTTAACTGTCCATCGGAAGCAAGTCAGTGCAAGAAAAAATATTTCGTACTGCATTGATGATCACAAGCAAGTGGTTGCTGCCTTCAAACGCAAACCCAACTATTTCGTTCGGGATGTCGCAAAAAAAACTGCACCTGACAAAAATTTTCGTGCAGAAAGCCAAGAAACGAGCAGGACTACGTTAATTCAAGGTTCAGCAAACACCAAACCGCAATGAAAGACAGAATAGGACAGCTAGATCGCGGGCACGTAAACTGTACACCCAAATGTTGACAAAACCACACTGCTGTATCATGGACGATGAAACATACGTAAAAAAAGGACTTCAGAAAAATTCCGGGAAACCAGTAAGTGACTGCTTACTGACAAGTAAGTGACTGCTTACTAGACAAGTTCGATGTTTAAGAGTCCCTCAGGAAACAGCAAGTGTCGAAGCTCCCCAAGAAATTCATGATTTGGCAATTTGTTCGTGCGGAAAACGGAATAAGCCTTTCATAACAACTACAACTACTCAAATCACACAACTCTCCTACAATTGTTTGGTCGAATCTAGCCTCTTTTCACTACTCCAAGGACGTTTTAGAGTGGTACAAGACGAATGGAATCAATTTCGTGCCGAAGGATCTCAATCCCACAAACACACCGGAGTTGCGGCTAATCGAAACATACTAGGCTATAATAAAGCACGAACACCGTAAGCATCCAAAAGTTGTCACTACGGAGCAGGAAATCTCGATAACTTTTTCAAAGGGACGTATCAGCTTTTGTAAACAATACATTTGCATCAAATAGGGGAAATTTTCCCCTACCTGCTAGTGGTGTTAGTAAGCGTGTGCGAGCTACCAGTTACACCTAATCGACGATCAAATGCATTGCTTACAAAAACTGATACGTCCCTTTGAAAAAGTAATCGAGAAATGTTGCAATCATGGTTGAAAACAGAAAAATTCCGAGTTAACCGTTGTATAGAACCTTATGGGTGGAATTAAGAAGAAAGTTCGGGCAGTTGGATTTGGTGAAGAAATAGAGTGAAATAAAGATACGTAAACCAAGCTTATAAAGGGCGAACACGAAATTATTGCGACACATTCAACAGGGCAAAACTTTTTTACCATTGGGTAAAAATCAACCAAATTTTGCACACTTTCTCATTGATGTGTATTGTGTACATGATGTCAAACTCGAAGTCGTGTTTTTCGATTCAACGAAAATGGAGGTGAACCAACGCGAGTTGAGAGAACAAATTCTTTCCAAACACCTGGAATTTCCTGACCTGTCGCACCGGCAGTTGGGGAAAATGTTGAACATTCACCATTCAACCGTCTCCAGAGTGTTGAAGCGGTTCCAGGAGCGGTTGACGTTGGACCACGGCAAAGGAGCTGGAAGAAAACCGGGACCGGAGAACAAAAAGACGGAGGGAAAGGTGAAGCGGATGATTAAAGCAAATCCCAACGTCTCAAGCCGTGATTTGGCTAAAAAGATCGGCATGTCGCAGAGCTACGTCCAGAATGCAAAGAAGAGAGCTGGACTACATACATACAAGGTACAGAACTTCCCAAACCGCGATGAGCGGCAACAATCGACGGCTAAAACTCGGGCACGGAAGCTCTACGAGAAGATGTTGACAAAATATGGCTGCTGTGTGATGGACGACGAAACGTATATAAAAGCCGATTTTAAGCAAATTCCGGGGTTGCAGTTTTTCACCGGCAAGAGCAAGTTCGATGTGGACGACAAATTTAAGAAGAAGAAAATGTCGAAGTTCGCCTCCAAATATCTCATTTGACAGGTTATCTGCTCTTGCGGACTGAGGAGTGAGCCTTTCGTGACAAAGGGCACAGTAAATGACGAGATCTACAAATCTGAGTGCCTCGAGAAGCGCCTTTTGCCGTTCTTGCAGCAGCACGACGAAGCTCCGCTATTTTGGCCAGATTTGGCATCATGCCACTATTCTAAAAGTGTCCTGGAGTGAGGCCAATTCTGTCCATTTTGTTCCAAAGGACATGAATCCGCCAAACTGTCCGGAGCTGCGCCCGCTGGAGCAGTACTGGGCAATAATGAAGCGGGAACTTCGGAAGAGCAAGAAGACAGTCAAGGACGAGAAGGACATGTTAAGAAAATGAAAAAATAACTGAGAAACTGGTACCGGATGACACTGTAAAGACTTTGATGGAGAGCATCAAGCGAAAATGCGTTCAATTTTACACTCAAGGCTCCATCGATTAACTTTTCTTTTGATTTTTGAAGTAAATATATGTATAAAACTACCCTAAAATTTTGGTTTGATTCTAAACATTATAAGAAAATTGGCATGACATTTTCGGTGTCGCAATAATTTCGTGTTCGCCCTTTATATAGTATTACATTCCCTAAAAATTTCATGACAATCGGTTGATAGCCTTATTTTTGGCGAGTACTTCTAAGTGATGTAATTTAACTGTGGACTAGGGTGTGGCCACCCTTTATTAATCCATGGTTTTTTTTTTCAGATTAATAGTTAGTATTTATTTTATTAAACATTCGTAAAATCCAGGAATATTTCGAAGTGAATGATTTGGGAATACAACCTTATCTAGCTTCGTATGAAGTACGCATCTATTTCGTCGCAGAAAACAACGAATTCATTCGTGAATCCAACGATCGATTTCGCTGTATAAACTAAATTTTATTTGTAGTGTACCGATCACAACATTTTATGTCGAAACTACGACTAGCCAGTACCTATTGATTTCTTCACAATAATTAGAATTCATCTATGGAAGCACTATAGACCATAAACGCTTACTAAACCTACATCATCAGAGCATGTATTTTCTTGTAACACTTTTTTGTTCCCTAATGGGGACACCAACCAAGCACAACTTTAAACAACCAAGACTAAAATATTATCCCTTTAGACACTAGCAGCTGCCTGATTGCTGGCCATTAATATTTGTTTTTGTATCTAGTCACAGTATTTATGTTAGCTCCACAAACCGGCCGAATTATTCAGTTCATGGTCAACATTAAGAATTCGTTCAAACAATCTGTTCTGACTGCTTCCACCAGTGAATTTAAATTACTTTCCACACTCGTTCGCCATCCATTGTGGGAATTATTATAACACAATCAGTGTTCCTTTAAAGGCGATAAAAAAGCAAACACGAAAAGCGCGCGAGCCTCTGCTCAGTAAAACGTCCTTTTATCATGCTTTCGTGCTTTCGCCGTCCGTCGTGATATCGTCCACGTGGCGAGTGCCTCAATCTGATATAATCTGTTTTTGTTGTGTCGTGCTGCTATTTCTCATATGAAGGAAGCAGTGACATACAGTGTCTGACTAGTTCATCACGACTCTGTTGTGATGAAACTAGTCAGGCCATCCACGTACGGTTCTGTGTCACTGTAGGATTTTCGGGCGTACATATAGATAAGCCTTATGCAAACAGGAGCCAAGTTATTTAAGGTGAATCGCTGTGGAAACTTTCATTTTGATTCTTATGCCACGGATACACTTGTATGGCCTACTATTAGCATGAGCATTATTTGTGTAATAATCATGAG